AAAGATTTAAAAAAACATTCACTTATTGCCAAAAGCAGTTCTGTTTTTTTAAGGGCTTTCGCTGTTTTTAGAAGCAATAGAAACCCAAATTGAAGTACAAAAATTGCAAAATAGGAATTTTGCATGATACGCCGCCTTTAACAAACTGTTAAAAATATTAATAAATAGCTGTCTTTGCATTCTATAAGAACTATAACTATAAAAAAAACACATTAATCATTCTCTGTAGAATTTGGTGATTGTTTTTGTAATTTTTTGCAATCAAAAAGATTTTGTGGTGCTAGTTTAGAGATTTTTGCACGAAATTTTGCAATATTTGCGCTTTGTATGTCATTAAGTGTGACTTTTTGTTACCCAGAAAAGCTGAAGTAAGCTATACTGCCACCTGCAGGTGGGAGGTAGAAGTCACCTAAACTTGATGTTCTTGATCATTTCTGCAGAGAATGTTCATTAAACTCACAAATAAATACAAAAAACAGAGGGACTAATCAATGTAATTTGGAGTCTGGAGTCCAGAGGTTCCACATAAAAATCTATGGTTGGGCCAGATTAAAAATCTAAAAGGCAAACAAGCTCGAGTCGCTCATTTAATTCAGTGGTTTCAGACGTCCTCTGTCCCCATCCATATCTTCTGTACTTGGCAAGAAGACAGCATGTGGTACTTGGGTACTTCAGTGAGTCATTGCCTCTGGCTGTCATCACATGCCGCCAGGCAGCAGTGACATCTGCATACCAGATGCCTTGTGTACCCACTGTCTGAAGTGTGCTCAAAGCGCTTGTGGAAAAACACAGCCACGAACACAGCTTGAATAAAAGCAAAAGGCCTGCATACAATTTTTCACTCGACTGAACAGAATGACTGCTTGCGCATTCGTCTATGTTTTAAATACACAGCCAACACTGATGTTTCACCACTGGTTTTAGGGTTAGCCATTACTTTTAGTGCTGCTGCCAGATGTCTCTCAATATCTTTAAGTGCAATTTCCTTCCTTGAAGTTTTATCTAAGGGGCTTTTTTTCAGTTTGTACTCGAAAAGAAGCTGCTGCACTTTAACTCCTTTATGAGGACAGATGTGAGTTTTTCACACTCTTTGATTTTTACAAGTAAAACCTAGTTTAAATTCAAATTATCTACTTTACCGTAGAGGAAATAAACATGGGCACTCTCTTGGATTTTAGTGCACTTGAAGTATTAAAAGGTATTTGTGAAACCATGCACTTTAAAGTGTTGTGATCTGTGTTTTTCTGTGTAGTTATTTTGGGATTTTCTGTGTTTTGAGTTTTTCTATGTGATCCTGTTCCCTGTGAGTCTCTGTCCTGTCCTCCCCGTTTGTCTCCCAGGTGTGTCTCGTCCCCTTGATTACCCCGTGTGTATTTAAGTCCACCTGTAGTCTCTGTCTCTTGTCAGTTCCTCGTCGTTGTTAGCGTCATTCCTCATTCATCGTGTCCTACGTCAGTTCGCCAGTTTCCTCAGTAGAACTGTATAGTCCTGAGGTTTCTTGTGTCAGTCTTTATGTCAGTCGCTACTGGTATTAGCTGTGTGCTAATGTGCTGCCTGTCCTGGACTGTGAGCTCATCATTAAACTCATCATCTTCACCATACCTGGGTTCTCTGCGTCTCTCCTCACCACCACCAACCACACCTCATGACATAAAGAGGTTCGAAGGACATTTGGAAAAGAAAGAGTCCCACAGCAACACAGGTTCTCCACTATACATTAAAGCTGCAGAACCCTTTTTACATATTTGTTGAAAATGTCATTATGTTGTGACAGTACACTGCAAAAACACAACATCTTACCAAGTAATTTTAGTCTAGTTTCTGGTGCAAATATCTTAGTAAACTTGAAATAAGTTAAACTAACTTAAAAGTAACTTTTCAGCGAGATATAGTGGCTTGTTTCAAGTGAATAATTTCTTAATATTAATGAAAAAACACTAGTTCTATTGGCAGATAAATTAACATGGAAAAATGTCTTGTTATATATTTTGCTAAAAATGTTACTTGTAAGTTAGTTTTATCTTATTTCAAGAATAGTAATATATTTGCACTAGAAACTAGATCAGACATACACAAGCAGATTCTGCAGAGTTAAATTAACTCTATGCCGAGTTTATTTGGTCCTTATCTGAAGTGGTGTTAATTTAACTCTTTCAGAGTTATTTCAACAAGAAATTGAGTAATTTTAACACTTGAAATAGTTCTAACTACTCAAACTATTGTTGAAATAACTCTGTAAGAGTTAAATTAATTCCAATTCTGAAAAGGACCAATTCGGCAACTCTGAAGGATTTGCTGTGTACCTGGTACTTTTTTGTGTTTTTGCAGTGTACAGCATGAGACAGATAATCTATGAAAAAATGTAACACCTTTACTTTTTCCCAGTGCTCCCAGTGCTAACTGAAAACAACCAATCAGAACCAGGAGGCGGGTCTTAACGCTGCCAATCATGCTCAACCCTCAACTCTCCCTTGGTCTCTGCTATGATGCAGCTTCTCCCTGACAGCAATGCCTGCTGTAAAGGCTCAAGCTAGTTAGTATAGCCACAGATAACGGTGGATAAATTGTTTTCCTGCAGCGGTAGGTTGTTTCTACACCTTTAGCACATTTAGCAGTGTGTCCACAAAATTGATTGACAGTGCTAAGACCTTCCTCCTGGCTCTGTTAAGTTGATTTTGGTTGGGAGGAGTGCATATCTTCAGACAGTAACAGCATCTAGTGGAAGGAGGAGGTGGCCGACCTTTTCACAGATTACCTGCCTCATAATGTACAGTCCCCCCATGGTGATATTTTAACAAATAAATAAAAAACATGTATTTTTATAAACATTTCCCACTGCAGCTTTAGCAGTGGGTATGAGGTACTTTTCCACTGTTCAGCTGTTCACACCCAGCTGAAGGTCAATATTAGTCTAATCTGATCAAAGGACATTGTCTCTGTAGCGTTAAGCAAACGTCTTGTGTTTATTTTGTGATGGTGGGACAGAAAAGACTTTTCATGTTGAATCTTCAATGTGTAAAACGTTGCTATGGAGAACTGCAACCCAAGATGCGCCTTTGAGTTCTCAACAGTGGACTTTGGATTTGATATTGCTGACTGCAGCCATGGGCCAGTCTGGCTTCATGACATTGTGAAAACATTTATAGATTACAATTAATGTACATCTGATATATTCACTGGTATGTAGAATTTGCATACATCAGACTTGAAATATGACAGCAAACCAAATATTCATCACGCCCATATTTCTTTACTATTGTATTGCACGCATGGATAGATGGGATTCTACTGAGTATTCAACTTTCTTGTAACCAAATCTCCAGATTTATGAGGATTAACACATAATTGCATTATTGAATGGCCTATTCAAAGTTCCCATCTTGAGAAGTTTCTAAGAGAAATGAAGTGTAGAATCAGGAGGTCGTTTATTTCAAAATAAACATTTCTCAGAACTCTGGTCAACGTGTCGCCTGAGCCAATCTCTATTTCTGTGCCACACCTCGACACATTTCACCAGAGAAGCGCTGCGGTGGCAGCTGCCCCGCTCCCTTTTTACTCAGCGTTCAAATAAGTGACAGAAAAATCTTTCTGTTTTTTTAAAATTGTTTCTCTGACTGCTTGTGACACCCTCAGGCTGTGAAGCCCTGGGCAGGGAGCCATATCGCTTATATCAAACTAAGGGGAAAAAACATGAATGCAAGACACATAATATGCATGTCGTAATTAATTTGTCAGGTATTTATGCTGGATTTAGATAAATATATTAACATTTTTACTTGTAGACAGACATAGCCATAACAAAGTGATCCTATTTACATAGAGTAATACTAAATAAATTAGAATATTATTTAAAAGTTAATTTATTTCAGCAACTTGATTTACTAAAACAGTTGTAATTTCTGTTAATTATGAAGATTCTTAGCTTAGGGCTAATAAAAACACAAATATTTAAGATTATAATATTACATCAGGCCAATAAAAATCATTACAGAAATATGGGCTTCATAAATATTTGTTTAAAACCTGCTTAATGGTTGTTATTTTCCAAAAGTAATTTTAACAAACGGGCCTCATTGGAAAGAATATTATACTTATTGGATGTGACTGTAGATGGGTTTGAAGTTGTAATGCAAAATGATTAACTGCTGTAATTACAGAAAGGGATTAAAGCAACAGAAAACCAACCATTATTTATTTAGAACAATATTTATGAGACGCTGTAAAGCCTCTTATTAGTTTCTAAACTTTAATTGTTTGTGGTGAGAATAAAGGCTTTAATTATCTATTTCAAGCAGAGGGAAGCAATTTGGGCCTTATTGATGTTTCCATACATGAAGTGATTATGTTTTTGCAATGCATGAATAGTGTACTGTAATATTCTACATGATTATGGATTAAGCATCTATGTGTCTGTTGTTCTGGATAAATTCAGTGTTTTTAATTGAGCTGGCATTAACTTTTAACCTTTCATGTAGTCATGGATGGTGTATCTCCAGGCTCTGTTTTGGGACCTTAGTTGTTTTGTTGTAAATGTTTGCTCTTCAGCTCATTTTGACTACTTTTAAAGAAGCAGCAGAAGTGGAGCCTCCTGCACAGCCAGGATGCAGCAAGCGGTAAGTCAACAACAGCAGCCATTGTACAGTGCATAAAATGGTAAAACCTGCTGACCAAACTGCTGGTCCTCCAACAATGAAATGGGCGGAGCTCTGCCTGGGTTGCTAGGTAACAGGACAGTGCCTATTGTGACTTAATCTCTTACTTTAGATCACATCATTAGCTTTTTCTTCTTTTGCTCTTTGCTTTGGTTTGTTATTTTGTTTGTATTTCCTTTAAAATCCTGTAAAGCACTTTAAAAGGTAATAAATAAAATTACCTTTGCATCTAAATATAGAGAAGCTTTTGAAATGGCTTGTTTTCTAGACACCAAAGCACATTAATTTATTGCTAGAAAATGTCTGGATGTCTTTTCATGTGTTTGTTTTTTGGTGCTTAGATTGTTTAGAATCACAAATAAAAATGTGCAAAAAGTGAATTTTCCATAAACAGGTCCTCTTTAAAGTCCATGCATGTAGATTTTAATTGGGTGACTTCTAATGGCGGCTGATTGGAACAGATTTTATTCAGTAGTATCTTAATAAAATCCATTTTACATCAAGTTATAGCAAAGTGAACAGCAAAACTCACACATTTATGTCTGCATTTTGACAAAAAAAACACTATCAAAATCTTTGAGTTTCGGGGTTCAAATTCAGCAGTCAGCTGCTTCCATGTGCACTGCGGGATATAACGTATCTGAAATGTCGTTAGTGAATTTATTTTTGGGACATTGCAAGCTGTCCTGGCGTGGATCTTGGTATAGTTAGGGTGTCTGTTTCACTGTTCCTGCTGGTCAGCTTCTTGGACTGAAACATTCTGGGCTGAGCCCAATAAATTAACTCGTAAAAAATGAATAAAACTCCACCAAGTTAAGGTCGATTAGATCACTCATCCGATACGTGAGGAGTTATGCAAAGGAAACGCGTTTTATCCAAGAAATTAAACGCGCTGACGGAGTTTTTAGGATGTCCGGAGAGCTCCCTCTCCCCCCTCTTTTCCCGGCCTGAATGGAACATCCTGAAAATGGTTTGAGCTTTTCTGACTGAAGGAGTTTGAACTGACAACATCGCGGGGGGTAAGTTCACTCTTTCCCCGCTGTAGTGGCCGTGGGAAGACAGGGAGCCGAGCTGACACGGTCCAACACTCTTTCTTATGCCTTTCTAAAGTTTTTCCACCATTGCTTCCTCACCCGGAGGAAATGATTGTTTTGGAGAGACGCGCCTGAAGTTTTGGGATTTTTTTTTGTTTTTTTTATGGGAATGCTTCCCCAGTCTGCTGTTAAAGGTAGGTCCATCCACTTGGATCTTAAAATTGCTCTACTGGCTGTTACTAAACTCTAAACTGTAAGAAAGAAAAAGAAAAATATGGAGCGGAGTAATAAAATGTCTAGTGGATACGACTGCAGGACTTTTAAAATCTTTGTTTTGTTAGTTTGCTTACATATAAATTAGAAATGCATGACAAAGTCTATATGTTCTCAGTAAGTAAAAACTGTTAATTTGACAAGTTTGACAATAATTAAAAGCAGTTATACAAAATTTCAACTTCCTTTTAAATTATTAATTGTATTTTTAAATATGATGGCGATTGTATAGTGTTTTTTTATTAATATTTTGTAACTTTGTAATACTTCAAATTGAGTACAAGTTCTGCAGTTTCTTTTATACCCAAAGTTGAAAAAGTATTTTATCCCCACAAAACCTAATAACTGGCTGTTCCAACCTTATTGGTAGCAGCAAGTGTTTGCAATATCTGGCATTGAGTATTGAGGAATTTTAATTAATCTATTTAAATTAATTCTGATTGGAGAGTTTTGTGGTTAGGGTTATTCCACTGCAGACTTTGACTAGGTCACTCTAAATTCTTTTTTTTTTTCCATGTTTAACCAAGTTTGACTTGTTGCTGCGTTATGGATTGTTGACCTGCCTCAGTGCCCCTCAGTGCTGCTGTCCTGCCAGTTTTAGATGAGTGTCTGCTCCAACACAGATTATTGAAACGGTTCAACTACCAACTCATAGTTTGAGCTTAAGGTTATGAGTGAATGGTCCAACATTCTCCTTCTACTGGAGAATCTGGGTTGGCATTTATGTTGTTATTTATCACAAAAACTTCCTTAAAATAAGAATTTTAATTTATTGTTGTCTTGATCAATTTTAGTTAATTAGATTAAAGAAAAACAAAACTTAAAGTATTAGAAATGTTATTTTCAGTATTTTCTTCACTGTTTCATGAATGCATCAATTCATATCAGTAAGTAAAAAAAAATACAGTTAAATATGGTTACTGTTGTCAGTTTACTGATGTTGATCAGTCTTCCTGAAGTAAGTGGCATCCTGAAGAAGCTTGTGTCAAATGGGAATTCAAGAACAGTATTTATTTTTGTGGCTCCATGAAGTCAGAGCCATATAGTTAACTAAAAAAAGAAGCAGTAAATAGTTTTTAATCATAACTTTTATTGCTATTATAATAGAATAGAAGCACAAAATATCTTGATAAAACTCCATGTGGAGAGATAACTTCCTCGTACTGAAAATCACTAATAATCACACAACCACCATGTTTGTTTGTTATTCCCTTAAAAGTTTGTATTTGGGTTCTTTAACCCTTTTCATGCTGATATACGTCAACGATTTTGTCTTTTGTCCTTGAATTTCTTTAGATCAGGTCAGGTCATGATGTGTTGCTTTTTGACAACTTTTTGCCTCTTTGTGTTGTCAAATAGGTTCTATTTAAAACACTTTGTATTGCCTTGTTGCTGAAAATGTGCTATATAAATAAAATTACCATTACCGTTACCTTTTAAATGGTAGAGGGTAGTTACTTTTACCAGGTAGGGTCAGGTTGGGTTAAACTGATTATTTTTTTACTCTCATTAAATTAAATAGTCATCTGAAATCTTTTTTCTTTTTCATCCAATCTGGTTAGTTCTGTTTGATATTGAAGTTTTGTTTGATTATTTGAAACCAGCATTCTGGGAAATGTAGACAGAAGAAACAATTTAGCCACTCAACCTCTCACAGCAAAGTTAGTGGCTTCAACTAACTCACTCACTCTTTGGTTACCCGGCAACAATCTCTTGAGTAGTTTGTGGTTACCCAGCAACAACCTGTTGAGTAGCTGTTTAGTTAGCGGTCCTTAAAGATCAGTATTTCTCAACCCTGGTATTCACCGCCCCCCCCTGCTCTGCATGTTTTAGATGTGCCTCTATTCCAGAATAGATGATTCAAATGATTGCATGACCATCAAGTAGGCGGTGAGGACCAGGGTTGAGAAACACTGTTGTAGAACATGGTCAAGCAGTTCAGGTTTTGTCCTAATTGAAACAAACAGCGCAGGAATTTCTAAACCTAAATTTTCCTCTCTACATTTTAGGGCCGAGAAGGACACTCGAGATACATCTGAAGACATGCTGTATCGGACTCTTTGTGACTGGAGATTACCGCTCCTGATTGTTCTGCTCGGGGACGGCGTCTGCGCTTTGGAAGTGAAACCTACAAGATGGCCCCTGTTCTCCCAGAAGCCCCTTCTCCTCGCCTGGAATGTCCCGACTCAGGAATGTGGCCCCTGGCACGGCATTTCTTTCCAGCTGGACCAGTTCCAGATTGTGGCCACACCAAATGAGGGCTTCGTCAGGCAGAACTTGACCATGTTCTACAAGGACCGTTTGGGCTTGTACCCCTACTTTGAGGAGGATGAGACGCCGGTGCGCGGCGGGCTGCCGCAGATCGCCAGTCTCTCGCAGCACCTCAGCGAAATGCAGAAAGGTGTTGATAAGTACATACCAAACCGGGACGCTGTAGGTTTAGCGGTTATTGACTGGGAAGAGTGGCGGCCTCTTTGGATACGAAACTGGGGACCAAAAGACATCTACCGCAAACATTCCCGTGAACTGGTGCGCCAGAAGAACCCAACTTGGGCCGAGAGACAGGTGGGGAAAGTAGCCCAGCTGGAGTTTGAGATGTCTGCCAAGAAGTTCATGCTGGACACGATACGCCACGCCAAACACCTGCGGCCCAACAATCTGTGGGGGTTCTACCTGTTCCCAGACTGCTACAACCACGACTACCAGCGCTCCCTGGAGGGCTACGCGGGCCGCTGCCCCGACGTGGAGGTGGCCCGCAACGAGCAGCTGAAGTGGCTGTGGACAGAGAGCACGGCTCTCTTCCCCTCCGTCTACATGGGCAAAGTGCTGCGCTCCTCTTCCTCAGGACGGCAGTTTGTGCGGAACCGTGTGAAGGAAGGGATGCGTTTGGCTTCATCCGGCGACGAGGTGGCACGTCCTGTCTTTGTGTACACCCAGCCCACCTACGCCAACTCCCTGGAACAGCTGACAGAGGTGACACGCCGCCTTCTGTAGCCTCTCCTGCTGACACGTTTGAATTATCGTTCAGAAACACTCCGATCCTGTTTTACACTTGCCTTTAAGTGACTATGTGGAAAGTTAATATAATGCACTTGTGTTATCCCTCAAGCAAACAAATCTCAATCATAGAGGAGCGCTAGCTCACAACCCCCCTCCCATGCTGAGTGCAGCTACAGCTCTTCAGTTTTCCTTATCGGCAGGCGCAGTCCTTTCCTGTTTTGGTAGCAGTCAGACCTTTTAATTTGTGTGGAGCTAGCAGGAAGGGTGTTGGTTACATTGAAGATCTGTCTAATCACCCATAAATATGGAAAGGGGAAAAAATAAAAGCTTGTTTCTTCCTTTTCTATTTCTTTAAGTTTCAATTTCTGTTGACCTGTGAATTTCAAGAGCTGAATCCTCTTTTCTAGTTTGACCTGGTGTCCACCATCGGGGAGAGTGTCGCTCTGGGAGCTGCAGGAATCATCCTGTGGGGAGATGCAACACATGGGAAAAACAAAGTAAGCATAAACTGACTCACGTTTCACAGGTTGTCTGGTCCACTTTTTTCACCTCGGATACCGATCCAATACAGAAAACCAGAGATTTAAATGTTTCTCTTTTAAGACATAAACGTACTGAATTACAGATTCATTTGATGACTCTGCACTACTACAGCACACTTAAATACACTAATAGCTTCACAAGATTGGTCAAACGTAAAAGCACAACTTTAATTTATTCAGTCAGCGCAATTAGGAGTATAACAGCCAATGCAAATTAATTAGTAAAGAAACTGAAACTGATAAAAATAATAGGCTTACTGTCTTGGTTAAACATGTAAAAACCGCAGCAAACCTTTCAAATGGTTCAGAAAGAACAATTAAGGATTATAAATATAATGTAAAATAAATAATAAAGCATAGAATTAGACTGAATAGATCTGCCTTTATGGATTAGGCACATTGTCACTGATGCCTATTCTAGAATTTTTTTTCAATATGGAGGTCGATACATTTTAATGGGATTTTATATGATAGGCCAACATAAAGCAGGTGGACCAGAAGGGAAATAGATACATGATTTTCTTTGTTTATTTTAAATGTGCAGTATTTTATTCAGTTCTCCTAGTTAACACTTTGTTGAACCACTTTATGCTGTGATCTCAGCTGCAAGCCTTTTGGGGTAAATCTCTATTATCTTTGGACATCTAGAGACTGAGTCTTTTTAAGAGGAGGAAGTGAGTGAGCACAAACATAATGTAAAAGGGAGAAGAGTAAATGACTGTCTGGTTCTGAAGAACTACATAAAAATAGTCTTAGCTTTTAAATAAGGGCAAAAATTGTTTCGGCTGCATGCCGTCATCAGTTTCTCAAAGAATGTGTCTATTTAGAGATGAAAGGGAATCTAAGCCAATCAGAGACAGGATGGGCAATCAGTCCATAAAAAAGATATCTGTGACTGTGAGAAATGTATAATCAGTCACAAACGACAATAATATACTACATTATATAAACTTAAAAAATCATAAGTCAGAGAAAGCAGTTCAACACCAGTTCCTCATTAAAGTGTTTTGGGAACAAAAAATGCTTAATATTTTTGGCCCATTTTCCTTAGCAGATTAGCTCAATTTTCAGCATAATTTTAAATAGATTTAGTTCTAATCCATTCTAAAAGATAAATATTAATATACTAAGCTATAGTAGCTCCAGCTGCATGTTTAGGTTGTTTTTCTGCTCAACATCAAGTCTTTTGCAGCATCAAACAAATTTTCTTTAAAAATCTACCTTTTTTTCAACTACATTCCCATAAAATCTGACCAGCTCTCCTGTCCTTCTGAAGCATGCCTGCAGCATAATGCTGCCATCACCGTGTTTCACAGAGGGGATGGGGAAACTTGGTGTTTCACATTGTGGATTGAAACACTCTTTGAGATGTCCAAAGCTTTAGATTACAACCTAAACTTTGCGTTGTAGCCTACTTTTAATTTATGGGGAATTAACTAGAAGAGGCAGATGCATGCCGCACTTTTCAGATTTGTAATTTGCAATTATTTAAAAATGTTGTACCACTTGCCGTTCTTGTAATGATGATGGTTGTTCTGTCACTTAAATCCCAACCCTGGTCCTCAAGGCATACTGTCCTACATGATTTAGAGGTTTCCCTGCTTTAACGTGCCTAATTCAACTGATTGCAGTTCAGCAAACGCCTGTTAATCAGTCATCGATTGAAATCAGCTGGACTGAAGCAAGGAAATACCTAAAACATGCAGGGGGTCGTGCCTTGAGGACCAGGGTTGGGAAACACTGACTTAAATCCCCTGAAATATCAAAGTTTTTGGCTGTAATATGAGAAAAAGTAAAAAGTTTGAACAGGTATGAATACTTTTAGCAGACAGTTTTCATCTGGAGTTGTGGTCCTCTGCTCTTCTGTCACATGTGGAGTCATTTGACACTCAGGACCTTGAGTCAGTCACTAATTATACTGTAAGCCACTTGTTCTGCAGATACACAGAAGACACTTGTCTGAAGGAAAATTAAAGTCTGCTAAAGGTGGAAGGAGGAAACTGTTTAAAATGAAGAAAAACACATGCTGTATAGACTCACACAAAAGTGTGATTATTTAACGTTTGCATGAGTTTTTCTTGTTATTTTGCTTAGTTGATGGGCTGCTTTTAGCTTCAGAGTGTGTAGACGTCAGTGTGGGATGGTTTGTATGTAAGTGGGATAGAAAAACCTTGTGCAAAGTTCAAATCTTTATCTCCTCCCTCCTGTCTGCTTTCTCCCTGTTTGCACATCTGTGCTCACTTGGCAGAACAGAGAGGCTTGTATGTAAAATCCATCAATCCAGGAGCTTCTTCCATTATTGTGCAAGGCTGTAATTTGGTGCAAGCATGTCTTTGTGCCTTAGAACATAAATTGTGTAATATCGTCGTCACATTATTTACTGATTTGTTCTTGGAGAGAAATGTGGGTATAGGTTGTAAACAAAATGTCTCTCTACTTTTATGAGAAAACTGAAACAATCATTGGATGTAGCCTAAAATATAAGTAAAAGGGAAAGCTTTATTGTTCCCCATACATTTTTGAGTTGTGGGTATGTGTAAAGTAAACCTCTCATTCATGTTTAATAACCTCAAGACAGTAACTCTTCACAGATAACACAAAGAACACTCCAGAAAGCATGTTTTTTTTTTATTAAATGTCAGTTTTTCTCACCATAAACGCGTATGAAGATAGGAGGAACAAACACAGCAGAAAATCTGTTTTGTAAAACATATATTGGTATGAACAGGGCCTAAATCAAGTCAGACCTCAAAGATTTCTTTGTGAAACTGTAACAGATTTTTTAAAACAATATCTTTAAAATCCAGCAGTGGCTTATGCTGCCTTCAATTTATCTTCAAAGGTGAACCTGGTATGTCGATTAATCCCAGCTTAACATGTTTTAGCTTCAAGTAAAAAAAAAACAGTAGTGAGATTTAATTTTTGTGCTTAGTATTCAAAAGCATGGATAAACGGTGACCATGCATTTCTCAGTATTCAATTCAAATCTATCCACAATTCAGTTACCATAACGCACAGCTCTGGAAAAAAAATTAAGACACAATTTAAAGTGACCCATTTCTGGAACGGCAACTAGTTGTTGGCATGGCAACCGGAGCTACGCTATTCACAATAAAATAATCGCAAACCTTTAGCTCTACTTTCATTAATTCTGTGTGCATTCACAATCATCCTAAACGTAAAAACTAATATGTTTTGTGCCTGTTATCAGCAAGGAGCTTAAAATTACTTTCAAACCAGTTTGGCATTTCTTTTTTACGTTGTTCTTTCCCCATTTTCAACAGTTATATTTACTTCCGCTAAAGATGCTACCAAAATAAGAGCCCAGATTTCAAAATAAAACACAAGGTACAAATTTTACAGTTAAATAAGCAATTATGAAACAGCTATTTAAATGTATTTGGCAATATTATATTTACTCTTACAAGAAGTGGTTTGCAGTTGTGATGTAAAATGTTAACATTTACTGTAAATATACATTTACTCCCTGCCTTTAGACCACCTGCTCTGACCTGAACTCGTATCTTCAAGACACACTGAGCCGATACCTCCTCAACGTCTCCACAGCAGCAGAGCTCTGCAGCCAGACCCTGTGCGGTTTCCACGGCCGCTGCCTTCGCAAACATCCGGACAGTGATGTTTACCTTCACCTCAACCCCCTCACACACCGCATCGAGAGGCGAAACGGCAAACTGACAGTCGCCAGCGAGCTGGGAGACCCAGACAAGATGCTTTTTGACACGGACTTTCAGTGCCAGTGCTACAGCGGCTTTCAGGGGAAAGGCTGTGATCACAAAGACCCGCTGCACCAAAGAGGGGCGGCGACTCAAACCAGAACATCAGCGCTCCAGTGTGTCATCTTCCTGATAACCGTTGTGCTCCTCCTGTGTTAATGTCCAGTACATACGGTGCTGCTTGAAAGTTTGTGAACCACCCCAATGTGGTCATTGTTTTCTAAAGAAAAATTACAATAATCATGTGAAACGAACATCCAAATCTCAAATTGTAAGGCAGACCTTCCAAATAACGGACACAAAGAAAAAAATATACATTTTCATTATTTATTCAACAAATGTATTTTATCCGTCAAAAACAGAAAATCTGCCAAGTGCAAAAGTATGTGAACTTTTTCAGTTAGCGTCTTGTGGCACCTCCTTTTGCAGCCATTACTTCTTCTGTACCACAAACGAGTGTCTCACATCTGCTTTTTGGGATTTTTGTCCACTCCTCCTTGCAGAACTCTGTCAGATGAGAGATGTTGGAGGGACATCTGGCATGTACTGCCCGTTTCAGATCTTGCCACAGCATTTTTATGGGATTGAGCCAATCCAGAGTGCGAATTTTCTTTCTCTTAAGCCGTTCTTTGGTACTTTTGTCTTGTTGCATAATCCATTTCTGTTCCAGCTACAACTCCCTGACTGATGGCAGGAGATTCTGGTCAAGAATTTGTTGATAGTCCTGGTTGATAGTCAAGGATGTCTCATTTGATTAGTCTGCTTAATTGATTATTCGAGCACTCATGTGTTTCACCTGAGTCTTTTACCTAGTTGACTTTACCAGTGCAGCTGTGGTTCATTTACTTTTGCAGATACTCTGATTCCATGTTTCATTTAGTCTGCTTGCAATTTACACATTTCCCTCAAGAGAAGCAAATGGAATCGATGAACATAAACCTGACATTTCATATACAAAAACTGGTAATGAGAAAATAAGAAAATCATGGTAAAAATAAAAATCTAAACTACTCAACTAGTTCACAGACTTTCAAGCAGCACTGTATCTGCAAATACACTGCCTGGCAGAAGTATTTATTTCCATTGATTTTCACATTTTTATTGTCCCAGAAACTTGAGTGTGTTTTGTTAATATTTTATATGATAGACCAACACAAAATGGTGCATAAGATCTGAGAAGGTTCACAGTTGGCTTTCTGTTTGTGCACTGCAAAAACACAAAATCTTATCAAATAATTTTGGTCTAGTTCAGTGGTGTCCAACCTTTTTACTATCAGGGCAAAAATCTGTAAATTCAAAATCACATGGGGTACAAAAATGTTATATTTTTTGTACCATTTTTAAAATCCAACTTTTACTTAGTCTATACTTTGCACCCAATATTTTGTAAGAGGATGTTATTTGTTTGGGGAAAATGTACTGCCCTGAAAGATAAATCAATCAATCAAATTTGATTTGTATAGCACATTTCAGCAACAAGGCATTGTTCGTGATGAAAAAGTGTTTGTCTGGATCAACCAACTATGAATGCAGGACAGATTTGCTAAATTCTACAATTGAGTTTTGTGGTGGGGCCACAAAAACCCTTCAGAGGGCCGCAAATGGCCCCCGGGCCGCATTGTGGACTCTTCTGGTCTGGGTTTTGGTGCATATGTCTTGAAATATAACAAAACTAACGCTCATGTAACAAGCAAGATATAAGAGCTTATTTTAAATCAATAATTCATTGATATTGATGAAAAAGTTTTAAGTAAAAAATATTTTAATATTGACAGAGTAGTACTAGTCCCACTGGCGGACATTTTTTCCATTTTATTAGAGAAATTATTTGCCGCTGGTGATACAACTTTATCATCAACATCAAGGACTTTTTGACTTAAAACAAGCTCCTATGTCATGCTGAAAAGATACTTGCACGTTAGTTTTGTCTTATTTTAAGCGTACTAAGAAACTACGCCAAAAAAAAAAAAAAAACGGTAAGATTTTGTGTTTTTGCAGTGCATTAATCTTTTAGGAAGGGGAACTCAAGTCTCAGTCCTTTTGCAGCATCTAACAGGGTTTCTTTCACCATTTTTCTAATTTATCTGTCTCTTCCTCTTCTGCCACAAAAGCCAGATTTATGATGTGCTTGAGAAGTGAATTAAAAAGTAATGTAACACTTTGTGTTGGTCTGTACCGTAAATCCCTGATAAATGCTTTAAAGTTTGCGGTTGTGACAAAATGTGAAACAGAAGATATCAAGACTTTTGCAAAGCGCAGCACACAAAGCACAAAGAGGGATTAGTAAGCAATTTTCTGCTGCAAAACTTTCATGACAGAAAGTCAAACTGCATTATAAACAAATGGGATGGAGAAGTGATGTTTGTTTATAAATTATAAGCGTTTTTTAAACAGCAGAGGGCTCGCTGGAAATGACACTGTTTACATTTTGCTCTCCGTTTCCCCCTGGGTCAGTTTCCCAAGGTGTCAGATTCTTCGTCTCTGTGCAGGATCTGATGCTTCGGTTGTAAATGTGTTGAATAAAGTGAAGGAATATGTTTGTTGCTGGGTGGTCAGAGTGGGAATAAAGCACTTAAATCAGCTTGGAGCAGTACATACACACCAGAAGTGCCAGATTAAAATAAAATAAAAAAAATAACCTCCCAAATTGACCACTCCCTGGCGTCGGGTGTTTTTCCACGCATTTCTATTTATTTGAATGTATTGGGTTTTTATTTGCATGTCTGAGTCATGACTACTAATGCCTTTATACAGCTCACAGTGCGTGTGTATTTTTACCTCAGAATCACAAAGCAAGAACTTCATTTGAGGGTAAGTTTGGAAACTGCTTGTACGTGCAAAAATACATGCTGTTTTCTTCTGATTGGTCACTGCAAATAAAGTGTTTTTTTTGTGAGCATGTGCAGTTTCTTGTATAAATCACTGGAAGCATTAATGGTAAGATCTGACTTTGTTATTACAAAGGTACATATTTGTTATCTTTTGCAAATAAAAGCAAAGTTCCAATAGGAAGTCTTTTTGACTTATTCATCAGAACAGTCCGAGCGCGCTGCTCCCGGGAGGCAAGCGGCAGCGACAGCCTCTTACTCCTTCCCCCTGTGATTACAGGGTGTTCTTGGCCAAAAGTTATTTATACTATTTTAATAAGCTGAGCAGAGCTTACATGTGAATTTGGATGTGTAGGAGTTCATTATGGCTTTCTTGATTGTCTCTTAGTACTCTGTGACCTCTCCCGTTATTTCCAGCTCTGTTTATGTGTTTATATTGAAAGCAGCAGGAGGGAGAGAACGGCTGGATTCGGTTTGATCTTGCCTGTGACTTTAAGGCTGCTTTTGCAGGATTTGCATGTCTCTTCTCATTTGCTGGTAGAAATGCTGAGCTTGCGTCGGATTGGTTCCAGTTCTGGCGTTTCACTTCCCCTTTCCCTGCTTGGTTTCCCTCCCTGTTTCAGTCAGATCATGAGACTTCTGGGGTCTTTAGCAAACCACAAATTAGAACCTCTTGAAGGTTTTACAGTAGGTAAGAGGGTTGTTTTTGTTACAAATTCACACCAGTTTGAAGTTTTCTGTTAATCATGCTTGCTTATTTCATTTTGTGTGAAATGATTAGCTGTTGTTTCAGTGCTGAGGATCTGTTGCATTTGAATGATCATTCTTTGTAGCTGTTTCTCTTCCCTAAACTCAGACTACTTGACAATACTTAAGATCGGTTGTTTAAGAGTTAAGAATCTCTACAACAAAGCATTAGTATTTCCACAACTTTCCAATTGGGATTAGGTCTTTACTTTGACTAGGACATTCTGACACATGAATGTACATTGTTCCAAACCATTCTATTGCCGACAGAGTTGTCCTGCTGGAAATAAAGCTCAAATCTCTTTCAGCTTAGATTTGGTTTCCATCCAGGCTTATTCTGTATTTAGCTTAATCTATTTATTAACTGAGCAACTGTTCTGTTGTTAAAAAAAAAGATTCTCCAGAACCATAGCTCTTCCACCAACATGTTTCAACATGGTTAGCGTGGCCTCTTACCTGATTCTCTAATTAGAACTCCCGTTTTTTGTTTTTTTTTTAAACCTCTTACGTGTTATGTTTATTTTCTTGTAATTTACTTCTTGCTGTTTCTTTTATATTCCCTTTGGCCCTATAAAACACTTTAAGTCTTACAAACATTGGATGTGTAAAGCTCTATATAAATAAATATATGACTGACTGATTGCTTAGCACAGAGGTTCCCAAACTGTGGGGCGCGCCCCCTAGGGGGGGCACCGTGTCATTGCAGGGGGGGCGCG